CGCCGTCTCTGATCGAGGGGCTGCCAGCCAAGGGTTCTGAGCCGTGTGTGGTGCAGCACGTCGGTCGTGCCAGGGGACCAGGCGCAGATTTTGCGGGTTGCGCGGCGCTGCACACTCTCCAGTCTCTCGATTAGGTGTTGTTGAGGGGGAGACCAAACTGCAGAGCAGTATTCCAACGAAGGCAGGACTAAGGATGTATATAGTGCCTGCAGGACCGCCGGCCCACCTGGCCTTGCGACGCGGGTGATGTAGCCAAGCGTCCTGCTGGACTTCGCGATAACGCCGGCAATATGTGCGGAAAAATCCAAGTGTTGGGAAAACGTGACACCCAAGATGGACAGGTGGTCTGATGCGGGTAATGGAGTGCCTTCTACAGTATATACAGGGCTTGTCGGTTTTTTTGCAGTTTGAGAAACGTATCACGGAACTCTTTGATGCGCTCAGGCTGAGGTGTTGTCTCGAGATCCATCTCTCTATATCTTCTAGATAGCTTTACAAGTGACGTGCGCCAGACTGGGACGAAATTGTCGTCGCGATCGATGTATCGTCTGCGTATTGCACTAGAATACACTTGTCATTGCGTGGCATGTCGTTCACGTACATGAGAAAGAGCGTCGGAGCGAGGACAGAGCCCTGTGGCATTCCTGATGAGATGACCCTCTCTGTAGAGTGTGCCCCACAGTACACAACTTGTTGGCTGCGATTCCGCAGATACCTTGTGTAGTGGACTATTTCACTCTCGCAGGTATGCGACGCGAAGCGAAAGGATATCGAGACCAGTTTGATAGAAAGAAAAATAAACTTTAGATTTCGACAGGTAATACAATGATTAAAACAAAAAGCACAAGATATAAGCGCGAATGACATAAGTACAAAAAGGAAAGGGAAAAAAAAAAGAAACGATATACTAATGGAAGTCTTACAGTTCACAGATGCGGCGAGCTTCATCAGAGTTCATTTCCTCGTTGCTGGTGCAGCGGCGGAGTCCGGGTTTGGTTGTGCCGTCTTGGCGGAACGAGGTCTTGCGTAAAGCTGCAAGACTTCGACGTGGGGTGAAGACCTTGCGTATAGCTGCAAGCCTTCGCCCCGTGAGCGTGATGATTGCCTTGTCCGTCCCGAGAACGTTTTTTTTTTTTTTTTTTACCTCGTCTTCGTCTCTTGTCTCGGTCTTTTTTTCTCGTGCCAACTGCTTGCTCTTGTTTCTTTCTCTTCTTCATTTTCTTGCTCCCACCTTGTTGACCCCAAAATCATCACAATCACCCCCCACTTGAGAATGTTGTTCAGCTGAAACAACTTCTAGCACGTTGAAGTCTTATTGTTCGCAGTCTATCACAACACAATGCACATTGAAAAACACATCACTTTTGGCAGACACAAAAGTACATACATTTACCAAAGTCACTTAATAAGCACCGCCGGGCACACATACAATTCCAAAAATTCAGTAAATTCGTGATATTGTTCCTTTACAAAAAAAAAATCTTATTCAGCAACAGAAATGCGGCTCATGTAATCAGCGCCCACGTTGTTACTACCCTTAATGTACTCAACAGTAAAGTCATATTCCATCAGCATTAGGCTCCAACGTAATACGCGACTGTTTACATGCTTTGCAGAATTGATGTAAACGAGTGGCTGATGATCACTTTGCAGAATGAATGGTCGTCCAAATAAGAACACGTGAAACTTCTTAACCGCCCAAGTAATGGCTAGTGCTTCTCGTTCCACTGTCGAGTAGGCAGCTTCACGTGGCAGCAGTCGACGACTTGCGTACGATACGGGGTGAAGCACATCATTATGGCGCTGCATGAGTACGGCTCCAATACTTCTCGACGAAGCATCGGTGCGCAACACGAAAGGTTCTGATAATTCTGGGGCTTTTAAGATGGGCTGGCTGGACAGTAGTCCTTTTAGTTTGTCAAAAGACGCCTGTTCGCTCTTCCCCCAATGCACCTTGTTTGGTGCTCTTTTACGTGTCAACTCCGTAAGTGGGTGAGAGATTTCAGAGTACTGGGGTACGAAATCCCTATAGTAGCCCGTAAGGCCAAGGAAAGATCGCACTTCCTTTTTTGTTTCGGGTCGATTGGTAGCTTGAACTTTCTCCAGGGTCTCGACTTGAGGGCGCAGGAGACCATGCCCAACGATGTGGCCAAGAAATTTGACAGATGCGAAACCAATTTCGCTCTTTGTGGGACGGATCGTTAAACCCGCCTGCTTCACGCGCTGGAAGAACAACTCCAGAGTCGATAAATGCTCCTCCCAGCACTCCGTGGCGATGAGGACATCATCAAAGTAGTGGTAGATGTTCGAGACCCCCTCGACCACTTTTCTCATAAGCCGGGTGAATACAGCTGGTGCTGTTTTGATGCCAAAGGGCATAAATCGAAACTGGTAAAATCCAGACTTGGAAGAAAAAGCTGTCATGTGCTTTGAATCTTCGTGCAGCGGAACCTGCCAGTATCCTTTAGAGAAGTCAAACTTCGAGAAGTACCGGCTTTTTCCCAACTTTGCAAACATCATGTCCACTCTTGGGATAGGTTCACTGTCGGGAATCAGGACCTTGTTAAGTTGTCTGAAGTCAATGCAGAGTCGCATTGTCCCGTCTTTTTTCTTCACCATCACGATGGGCGCTTGATAGGGGGACTCGGAGGGCTCAATGATGCCCCGTTGTAGCATTTCTTTTACTTCCTCCTGTACCGCTTCTTGGATGGAGAATGGTATGGGGTACTGATGGACTTGAATAGGAGTGTCGGTCGTGACTTTTAACTTGCACTCTAACAGGTGGGTCCTCCCTGGGACATCTGACAGACTTTCCTGGTACGTTGTCAGGAGTCTGGAAACTTGTGCTCGTTGATCGGCAGTCAGCTCCCTTGATATTTTCACGTCTCGATAAGTTTCGTTTTGTTGCAGTGTTGCACACGGGAGGTCTTCTTCCTCAACATTCCCATCATGGAATGCGACCGAAGCTCGTTGAGGTGTCTGATCAACGATTGTCCTCTCTTCGTACTTTTTCAGTATGTTGATGTGGAACAAGCTGGTTCTTGTTCCAAGGTCGATGACGTAGTCAACGTCATTTCGTCTCTCTAAGACAGTGAAGGGGCCTTTCCAGGTCAGGATCAGCTTGTTGGTGTCAGATGGCAAAAGGAGCAGGACCCTGTCTCCAACAGTGAGCTGGCGCCTCCTTGTCTTCTTGTCATAATAGGTTTTCTGTGTCATCTTCGCTTTCTTGAGCTGCTCTTGGGCTATCCGGCACGTGTCGTCTAAGCGCTTCCGAAGCTCGACCATGTAGCCGTACGAAGTCTTTGTCTCGTCGTCGATACTCTCCCCTGACCAGAGCTCTTTTAATATGGCCATGGGTCCTCTGACGTATCTACCGTACAGTAGGTCAAAAGGTGCGAACCCGAGGGAGGTCTGTGGCACTTCCCGATATGCAAATAACAGTGGTGCCAAGTTTCTGTCCCAGCTCTTGGGGCTTTCCTGACACATTCGTCGGATCATTTGTTTCAGCGTGCCGTTAAAACGTTCCACAAGGCCGTTTGCCATAGGATGGTACGGCGTGGTTGGCATATGTTTAAGCGAAAGCAACCGGCTGAACTCCCTCATGAGCCCAGACATGAACGATCTGCCGCGATCGCTAATGATTTCTCTGGGAAATCCCACACGTGAAAACATCTCTAGTAAAGCCTCGGCGACTTTCTCCATTTCAATGCTTGGCAACGCAACCGCATCAGGGTAGCGCGTCGCGAAGTCAACCATGGTGAGTACATAGCGGTTTCCCTTCTCAGATGTTGGAGATAGGGGTCCCACAATGTCGATGGCGACCCGCTGGAATGGTGTTTCGATGACTGGCATGTTGCCCAAAGGTACGCGGCCTACTAGGTGCTTTGGGACAGTTCTCTGGCAGGTGTCGCACGACTTTACAAATCGAGTAACGTCTCCTTGAACTCCTGGCCAGTAGAACTCCTCGAGGATTCTATCTGTCGTGCGTTTAATTCCCTGGTGTCCAGCTAGAATTCCCTCGTGTGCCATTTTCAGCACGAAGTCCCGGAGATCGCTTGGAACAACGAGCTGCTCCATCTCCTTCTTTGATGGCAATTTGTACCGTCGAAACAAAATTCCGTTGATCAGTGTGAACTCAATGTCAGCTGATCTTGTAGCAACTTTGTTCCCAACCGCTTCAAAACATCTTTGGAGAGTACTGTCTTCTCTCTGCTTGGCGCTCAGCTCCGTCGAGTTGATGGCCAATTGATTCACTACCGCCACAGGTAATTGACCAGAGTTTCGGGAGGCCAGCTTAGCTGCGACCCCGGCCTGTGACTCGTTTGGCTCTGTGGCAGCCGATGAAAGGCCCGTCTCAATGAGAACTGGTTCAGTTATTGACCTGCCACAGTCGCTTGCCTCAATAACTGGAGCTGTCCCCTCTCCTTGAAGAGGCGTGTCTTGCTGAATACTCCATATAACGTTAGGATCGGAGGCATCCCGCACACCATCCACGTTTCCTAAAACGACATCATAGAGAGGGTTTTCCATACAGGTCGCTGTCACCTTGCCTTGGTAATAGGGGGAATCAATGTCAACCACCGCTTCAGGCAGACACAATTCTGTCCGGTCAAGCAGGAAGATAACGCGGTTTCGTCCTGTAAGTTTGACGCCAGGAACCAGGGACCGCTTGACTATGACCGAGTTACACCCAGAATCTCGCAGGACGGTGACCTGATGACCCTCGAGTAGTCCTGTTGCCGTGGGCATGCCGTCTGCTTGAACGTCAGTTCCCGTTTTGTTCTCTTCAGCTTTCCCAGCAAGGCGTTCGGATGGACGACTTCCAGATCCGTAGACGTTACGATCCTTCCGACGTGTCAGAGAACATGACGCCTGTCCACCACCGTCTGCTTCTTCGGACAAGCCTCAGCTTTATGCCCGTTTTTTCGACATTTCCAGCAGAAATTCGTCTTCTGATCGGGTCCTCTTGATTTGGCCCAACAGTCTGCTGCCTGATGGCCTTATTTATTGCAAAGGAAGCACTGCAGATTTCTCTTTGCACCTTGAGGATCAGACATCCTAACTTGCCCTGTCGGCTTGTCAGTCTCTTCTTTCTTTTTGCCGAGGTTGACCAACCCCTGGGCCTCGAGGTAGTGGTCTGCAGTTTCTGCTAGCTTGTCGAGCCCTTGGCAGCCCCTTTCCTTTATAAAAATTGCTAGTTTCTCGTGGCATTTGTTCAGAAATTCTTCGCAGACAATTTTGTCCCGAAGTGCGTCATAAGTGCGCTCCGTCCTTGCCATCTCCTGCCAGTGGTCAAAATAACCTAATAGACGACCAGGAAATTGTCTTCCCGTTTCGGAGTTCTCTGGTTTCGCCTCTCTGAACTTGGCACGATATCCTTCCTCAGTATAGCGAAATCGTTGGAGAAGAGTCTGCTTCAGTTTAGCATAGTCCATGGCATCGTCGGCAGCCATGCGTCCTATTACACTTAACGCTTCTCCTTTCAAACATAGGCTCAAGGACAAGGCCCATTTTTCCGGAGGCCATTCTTGACTTGTTGCCACCCGCTCAAAACGTTGGATGTATGCATCCCATTCATCGCTCCTTTCGTTAAAGGGGGGTATAAGTTTATGTGGACTCCGATACCCCTGCGCTACACTAGGAGACGTACCCTGATCAGATGCATCTGGAACCCGAGTGATCGATCCTCCTTGCTGCTCTTGTAACCGCAACTTCAGCTCTAGCACAGTGCGTTCTGCTTCTAAACGAGCACTCGTTTGAGCTTCTACTTCTCGAGCCCTTTCTCGCTCTGTTAGACGCTCCTCTCTTTCGCGTGCGCGTTCTTCGTCTATCCATTGCTTTAGCGAAGCCCCTGAGAAACTCAATTCTTTACCAATTACCGTTAACTTCTCAAGATCCATTCTCAACCGACGCGGACACTAGCGAGGTGGAGCTCTTTGAGGTGGAAATTAAGAGCAGTCCTGTCGCGGACGCCAGAAATGTAGTGGACTATTTCACTCTCGCAGGTATGCGACGCGAAGCGAAAGGATATCGAGACCAGTTTGATAGAAAGAAAAATAAACTTTAGATTTCGACAGGTAATACAATGATTAAAACAAAAAGCACAAGATATAAGCGCGAATGACATAAGTACAAAAAGGAAGGGGAAAAAAAAAGAAACGATATACTAATGGAGGTCTTACAGTTCACAGATGCGGCGAGCTTCATCAGAGTTCATTTCCTCGTTGCTGGTGCAGCGGCGGAGTCCGGGTTTGGTTGTGCCGTCTTGGCGGAACGAGGTCTTGCGTAAAGCTGCAAGACTTCGACGTGGGGTGAAGACCTTGCGTATAGCTGCAAGCCTTCGCCCCCGTGAGCGTGATGATTGCCTTGTCCGTCCCGAGAACGTTTTTTTTTTTTTTTTTTTTATCTCGTCTTCGTCTCTCGTCTCGGTCTTTTTTTCTCGTGCCAACTGCTTGCTCTTGTTTCTTTCTCTTCTTCATTTTCTTGCTCCCACCTTGTTGACCCCGAAATCATCACACCTTGATATCCAAGTGAAGAGGAAACCGTGTATGCCTGCGTGTATGAGCTTCTCAAGCAGGAGATTAATGTCGAGCGTATCGAACGCATTGCTTAGGTCAAGTTGGATTAGATCTGTCATGGTTCGATTATCCATGTGATCACTGATAAAATGGGTAATAGTTGCCAGTGCTGATTCGCAGCTGTGACCTCTTCGAAAGCCGTGCTGACTGTCGAAGAGATAGCCGGATTCTTCAAGGTGGTTGAGAAGCTGGCCGTTAACTATCCTTTCAAATGTTCGACAGACAATCGAGGTGATTGGCACAGGACGGTAATGTTTTGGTTCATTCGTCGGCTTCCCTTTTCCTTTGTGTAGCGGAGTGACCAAAGCTCGTTGCCACGTTACTGGCACAGTAGCGCTGTCGAACAGCCCTGGCAGAATCTGGCACGTGGTCGGCAGCATTAGCGGACAGAGCCGTTTGAACCACGTCGGCGTGATACCGTCTGGACCGCAGCTGTGAGAGGGCTTGATTTTGGAGAGCTCTTCCTGTAAAGACTCGGTTGTGAAGGACACAGTGTCAAGTTTCGACTGGGCGAGGCTTCCCACCCTTGTTGTCGAGGGTCGCGGGGATGTCGGGGGCATCAGCGTAATGTTCGTTGAGCAAAATCAGTCTAGGGTGATTCGGGGGTGGGCCATTGTTGTTTATAGAGGAAAAGTGGTTGGCGAAAAGATTAGCGATCTCTTCTGGGGAGTCAGCCATCTTGCCGTGGACGACGAAACATGGTCGCTGGGATGAATGGCGTAGGGATCTAGTGTAGTTCCAGAAGACTTTCGGATCTTTCTTAGCCCTTTCAGCAATATCGCGAATGTAGTTTTGGTGGGAGATGTAGATCGTAGCCTTAAGTGTCTGTTGGTGATCTTTTGCCAGTTGTAGAATGGCAGGACACTGGGATCGGCGTGCCCGCTGAAACAATGATCGCTTAATTCGCTCGGCCTTGATGATGGCAGCTGTGATCCACGGCGAGTGTTTTCGCTTTCATGAGCGGACGGAGCAAGGAACACATTCCTTCTGAATGGCGACCATGAAGTCACACCACAGGTCATAGTTGGATAACCAGTCTGATCCTGCGGAGGTCATACACCACGGTGCCAGGTGGGCCAATTGCACCATATGATCAAAGTCAAGTTGCCGGAACCCCCACAACATTCGAGCGTAATGCCCTGTGCGTGGCAAGGAGACTGCGTAGCGAAGTTCCACGGCTTTGTGGTCACTGCCGTGGAGGCCTTCCGATACGTCAACAGCTTCGAGGCTTGTCTGGTTGGAAAGGAGCACCAAGTCAAGAAAGCTTGGTGTACCGTCGTGCAGTGCCGGCCTTAGAGCAGCAAGCGCCCTGGGCGAGCTGTGGCCGTGGCGCCCCCCCCCCCCCCCCCCTATGTTTGCACCCAACATCACGTTGTTAGTAAATATGCTAGATGGACTAGCGCGAATGGTCGCGATTTCGTAGTCATTCGAGAGCCACGTCCTAAAAACGAACGACGTTCGCGAGCATTGAGAATTTTGTCGACACCGTGCTCAAATGGTCCATAATACATTTATTTCCCAGTTTAACCAACTTTCAGCTGTGGGTCTCCCATAGCAAGCTAACTTCTGATGGACAGAGAAAACAAGACCACAAGTTGACCATGTCAGATACCCTAGAAAGCAACCTTCCGAGCCTTCAACATCGCAAATTGGGCTACGGCTTGCGACATATCCAGGATAGACGCTATCCTGTTTTCAATGGACAAAATTGCCAATGACGATAGCCTGTCATCCGCCATGGTGTATCTCAGATATGTCTTAATAAGCTTTAATTTTGAAAAACTCCTCTCAGCGGTGGCCACTGACACTGGCAAAGTGAGGAGAATCCTCAATGACACCCACGTATAAGGGAAGTTGTCACTTAGATGGGTGTCCAGAACGAACTGGAGGACGTCCTGGGGAGCACTGCATCCAGTGGGCAACAGGCTGCATAGGTAGTTCAGCTCCTCGCAGAGATCTGCACCGTCGATGTCTGCACTTTCTAGGTGTCTCAGTGCATGTTCAAGGCCTTGGCACAGTTTAAGAAGTTCTGCTATGTCGGGAAGTCGGGTGAGGTTGTAAAGGAACCCCCAGAGGCTCACGTGCTGCTCCATCTGCGTGAAGCGTTCTTCAATCGACATCTTTACGGTGTCAATCAACTCGTAGAAGAACTCTCGCTTGAATTTTGCCTCGACATCATCAACTTCGTCTTGGCACTCGTAACTGAGTTGGCGCTCTTTCCGCCGCAATCGAGGGGCCGGTTTCATCACACTTTCAGCACCCATGCTCTCGGCAAGACCGTTCGCAGTTGCCAGTGCCGTTTCGTACCCAACATCGCGATAATTGTCGATGTATTCGCAGCATGCTTTCAGCAGCTGGGTGGTTGCTACGATGTCCTTCGTTTTGCATTGCATGTTCTTGCTTACAACATTAACTTGAAAAAGAATGTCGTACCACGCAACAATGGAAACGAGAAACTTAAGGTCCGTGAGCTGCCCTGCAAGAGTTCGAGCTTCATGTCGGACGCCAGGGTCTGCCTGCTGTGATTCGGCCAAACTAACAAGCGCGTCATGAAGTTCAGCTGTCTGATGGCGGACGGGTTTCAGGCTGTTAACTCTGCATTCCCAGCGTGTGTCACATAGCGGCTTCAAGGTAAGCCCCTTGACATGATCTGTCAGGATCTTCCAGCGATGAACAGAGGCAGAGAATAAAACATAAATTCTCTGGATTGTGCCGAAGAGCGTGACAGATTCTGTAGAAGGTGCGGCTGAATCCCCCACCACGAGATTGAGAGAGTGGCATCCACATGGAACAAAAAATGCTCGGGGATTTTTCTCAAGAATTCTTGCCTGCACACCTTTTCTTTTCCCTTTCATGTTAGCGCCGTTGTCATAGCCTTGGCCGCGACAGTCTTCAATCATAATGTCGCACTCCTCCAGCGTCGACTTGGTGAGACCCTCTCCTGTGGATTCACAGACTGTTTTGAAACCAATGAAATGCTCTTGAATTATGACTTTGCCATCGATCGTGTCCAAGAAGCGAAGAGTAAATGACATCTCTGTATGGCTGATATCAGGTGTACAGTCCAATATGAGAGAGTAGTATTTCGCAGCCTTCAACCTTTCGAGTATGTGCTTGAGCACGTTCGTGGCCATCATCTCAATTATTTCATTTGGGATGTTTTTTCCGCAGTAGTGGTCGACCACCTCCCGGCGAACCACTCGTCGCAGGTGCTCCTTCATGACTTCGTCAAATTCCCCAAGTAGCTCGACTAATCCCAAAAAGTTTCCATTGTTTTCTGTGAAAAGCCGATCAGTTGAGCCGCGAAAAGTCAGGCACTGCTTCGAAAGAACGAGTGTTATTTTTATTAGTCGCTCCAAGACACTCTTCCAGCGCTCCCTCTCCTGCGTTATCATGAGTTGATGTTCCTTGTCGATGCATTCACCTCGTCTCATTCTCAAACTTGTCTCTGTCCAAGCTTGATAGGACAGAAAATGACTGGGAGACTTCTCGTGGCTTGTGAGAATCTGCGACATGTGCCTCCAGTCATTCGATCCAGCTATCGCCAAAGACGATTTTGGGTTTGCGTCGTAGAGCTTGCAACAGAAACAGAAAGCCCTGTTTGAAGACTTGGAGTAACAAAGCCAGCGCCGCTTTGATACTTCGCCATTTTCAAGGTGTCGGTCCAGAAACTTGGTTGAGAAGTGACGGTTGTGCTCGTCCAGAAGAAATTCCACGCTAATCTCTATATTCGCAGGCCTTCGGCTAACTATGGCGTCCCGGATTTGTGGTGTCAGCTTAGGCCATAATGCAGGATCAGACAGTTCGTCGCTGGCGGCCTTTATCTCATTCGATGTGTTATCACCATCTTGTTTAGTGTCGCAGACCACTCTGGCAGTGGAGCACTTGGCGTCGTCAAGATATTGCTGCGGTGTCTCGCTTTCCTTTGAAGGGGAATAATCTTCTCTTGTCGAGCTCTTTTCTTGCAATGTTTCTCCCTCTGCTGGTTCACCTGAACTTGAGGGGCCCTCGTGTACTTTCACATACTTTTTCAGGGCATCTGCGCTCTTCCTGGATTCGCGATCTTGTTCAAATTTTCGTTTTCTGTACTGCGCTCCTGATGGTTTCTTTCGAGGAAGTGGCATATCACTGAAATATTAACCAACAGACTAAATATAAATTTTACACCAGACATCCTGACCCGTAATGCGTATTGTAACAATACTTAAAAAACAAGCTAGCTGGTGATGATTCATAGTAATAAAAACTTCCACCCTTTCCACACTGGTGAAGAAGGAAGAGCAGCGGAGCTGTAGCCTCTGTTCTCGGTGGTGGCTTTTCAG